CTAATCAAATCTGCGCACATGTTCAGAGCATCTATGTACCAAGTTTCATCAAAATCCAATGAGTGGTTCTTTAGATATCAGTGGGACAGTCATAGAACAGCTAAAAATTAGCTAATTATCATGCAAATTAGGTAATTAACGAGCATGGATTTTTACCAAAACCTAATCAAATCTGCGCATTGGCCCAGAGCATCTATGCACCAAGTTTCATCAAAAACTGATGTATGGTTCTTGAGATAACAGTGGAACAGTCGGACACACATACACACACACACACACACATACAGACACACTAACTGCAAAGACTCCAATTATGTGCTTCGCACATGGGAGTCAAAAACCATGTGAGTAACACTGTCATGTGTTTGTATAGCACCCATCACAGCTTGAGAGACGATTCATCTCACATACAAAGTATAGTAATGGTGATGTAGACAATATTGATGATCATAGCATCAAATGCATATCGATAATATATGGTGTTTTGACATGGTAAAAGAAACATGCAAACAAATGACAAAAGTGCATGTTAATGTTGTAACAATGCAAATAATGATGGACAACATGGCTGATAAAAACAGTACAAACATATCAAAACAACATATAAAGTGTAAATATTGTGAATATAATGACACGTTAAAGGGAACAAGAAGGATACAGAGTATTCACTGTCAGCTGCAATGTTAATAGTCATGTTAGTCCTGAGAGTTTGGTACATCAAAGGTCAACTCAGAATGTCAGAGGTCAACTAAATGTATCACAGGTCATATGAATGTGTCCTGTGGTCAACCAAGGATGTCAGTGGTCAACCAAGGATGTCAGAGGTCAATCCAGTGCATGTCAGAGGTCAATCTAATGCATGTCAGAGATCAATCCAGTGCATGTCAGAGATCAATCCAGTGCATGTCAGAGGTCAATCCAGTGCATGTCAGAGGTCAATCCAGTGCATGTCAGAGATCAATCCAGTGCATGTCAGAGATCAACCAAATGTGTCAGAGGTCAACCAAGTGTGTCAGAGGTCAACCAAGTGTGTCAGAGGTCAACCAAGTGTGTCAGAGGTCAACCAAGTGTGTCAGAGGTCAACCATACATGTCGAAAATCAACTGAGTAATGTCAGAGGTCAACTAAATGTATCACAGGTCATATGAATGTGTCCAAATGTAACCAATGATGTCAGAGGTCAGCTGAGTATGTTGTGTTTCATAGGTCAACTAAACGTAGGGTTGTCAACAGAGAAGAAAACAGACAGCAGGGACGGGATTAAGGACAAAGTACCTGGTCGGTACGGTCTCCTTTTCCTCTTCTTAAAACTGGGATCTGTAAGGGAGGCATTATCATCACCACCGCTGCCGTCTGCCTTTTCTTCATCTTGTTCTGCGTCTGAATCTATGACACAAAATAAATCTGCCTGTCAGCTATTAGGTTGGCAGCAGTCAGCTTATAACCTTCACTCATATCCAGTATACAGATGCTATACGAGTAAAGTTCACAAGCAATGGGAAAACACTGAACACCTCTGAAATACAATATATTGACAACACTGGACTTGTGATAAACTGATGATATGCCAACACCTAACATAAAGCTGCAAAGTTTAATCATTCACTAAACACATGGATAATTTCAAGCGAAAAGCTGCATTCCCACTTTGTATAATCCATAAAAAAAATCTTCATCTTTATGTATCATCAGAAAATAAGATAAGAAATCTTATTCAACTGAATCAAGTAATAAAATTACTTAGTAAATTAATTAGTAAAGTAGCCTTGGGTGACTACAACAAAAAGTAAGTTTGATTCGCTGATTAGACACAAGACGTTCAGTGCAAGAAAGCCGAGTACTCAAATATTTCAAGATTTGTTGTAATACCAACTGATTTTATTATCTTTATGGTGATCACAATAATTAATTGGAGGTGTTCTGCATAATACAAAATATGAATGCAAATTAAGTTTACCAAACTGCAGCTATTTCTCATACTCTCATATAAAACCAACCATCTTAGCTACATTTTAGAAATATAATCATCAAATTCAGAATAATTTACCAGACTGATTTAACACTTGATGATGATGTGGATTGTTTCCATAGCGATATAAAACACATACTGTGAACTCACCTCGTGCAGCTGGTTCACTTGATTGATCCAGTTCACTAAGTTTGACTTGGTCTTTAAAAACAGATAATGGGCCAGGACGGAATCTGTTTCGGGTTCTCTGTTTCCGCCGATGTGGCGGTAATAGTGATAGACTCTTGATCTGATTAAAGCCGGATTCAGTTAAATAGATGCCTTCCACTGAGTACTGTTGACTTGGTTTTGAAGATTCTGAAATTAAATAATAAAACATAGTTAAATTATGAGAGACATGCCCAAAAAAAGATCTTGGCTGCAGTTATGTTGGCCATAGGTGTTTGTTAACATTTTTGCCAATCAGCATTATAAAAAAATGTCGCACAAATCAGCAATTGATCATATAATCTGCTTTGAAATAGTGCTCAAATGTTGTTTTATCAACATTCACATGTATGTACAGTACTCTATTTTAGATGGAATTAGTTTTCATTGAAAAGACTTTTTGGGTGTTTTGTGTGGAATTTATTTTCACTGATTTTTGACAAGTTAAATGTGAAATATAGGAAAAAATGTATATTCTCTGTATTTTATTTTCACTGAATTATAAACGAAAATTAATTCCAAGCAAAAATAAAGTATTTACAGTAACTGTGAACAACGGCATTACTTTATTTATAGATGCGAATGAGTGGTTGTCCTGATTTGCCAACCAGTCACTGAGCAAAATGGAAGTGCATCTTCCAATCCCAAATGGCAATTAAAGAGCGGTGGTTGTCGTGGTGCGTCCTTTTCCATATGGGACTCATAGTAATGTACACAACACACATCGCTTCTTTAGATGAAAATTCAAACACATGTTGCGTGAAGACAACCGCCCTTTAATGCACTATTGGAAACTAGCATGTCAAATACATTGTAGACAAGATATCGTGAACACATACCTAGTTGTGTTACAGGTGAAGGGGATTCTTCTATGGGTAGTGGGGGTGGTGGTGGTGGTGGTTTTAATGCAGGTTCTGTAGTTGGTCTACATAATAAACAATGGTAACCCTGATCAGCTGCTCTTTCAATATCGTCTTCATTATGAAATCCATCACATTCAGCATGAAGCCATCTGTAAAATATATAAATACTTTATTCTAGTGCCATAATGTTTTTTTACAAAATTTTCGTGCATTTTACATGTTTTTTTCTATATTAATTTTGATAATTTTGGACCAAATAAAAATAATTTTCTAATGGCTGAAAATGTTGATCCAAATTTTGGAAAAATTATGTGGATTTAAAATTTGGGATTGGTGAAAGAAGTTTGTGTGAAACAATTTTTCGTAATTTCTCTGAGCCTGATGTTATTGTCACGGTGTTGTGCCTGTCTCCATTCCAAACCACAAACCATATCTTTAGAGCCTATGGCGCAAAGGATAGCAGGAACTAACCAAGTTGTCGAGGAGTCAGAAGGAATTTTGCTCGCAGCTACAATTTAACAGTTACAGCATTCAAATTTGCATATGACTTCCTGTTACAGCATCCTCATTTGCATATGACTTCCTGTTACAGCATCCTCATTTGCATATGACTTCCTGTTACAGCATCCTCATTTGCATATGACTTCCTGTTACAGCATCCTCATTTGCATTTGGCTGTCTGTTACAGCATCCTCATCTGCATATGACTTCCTGTTACAGCATCCTCATTTGCATATGACTTCCTGTTACAGCATCCTCATTTGCATATGACTTCCTGTTACAGCATCCTCATTTGCATATGGCTGTCTGTTACAGCATCCTCATCTGCATATGGCTGCCTGTAACAGCATCCTCATTTGCATATGGCTGCCTGTAACAGCATCCTCATCTGCATATGGCTGCCTGTAACAGCATCCTCATTTGCATATGGCTGCATGTAACAGCATCCTCATTTGCATATGGCTGCCTGTTATAAATAATGTTCTTTTCTCTCTAGAAAGCACAAGCAGACCCCTTATTCCAGTATGGCAGGAACATATTCACATCCATCAGTACATCAGCAATGATCATGCAGTGGATGTACCAGGTCTGATTTACAAGTAGTGATTTATAAGGCATCACACTGAGTAGCAGATGTATGATATAATCACTTTGTTCATATGGCCATCTTGGTTTTCCAGGTGACAAATCACACCTTGCCTTGTTGTTTCAACTAAATCATTTGCTTACATGTTGATTTTGACAATAAATGCATCATAAATTGTTTGAATAGTGTAATGATACTAGTAATTCAAAAATATTTATGGTATTTGCTCAATTAGAAGCGCATCTCCAACAATCATTCACATTTAGTAATACTGGATCTTTGAAATATTCCTTTTTTGGCCATAGAAAAACACTGACATAAACGCATATGTTACTAATAGAGCAAATATGGTGTTTGTCAGACAACTTACCTATAACACTGAACACATTGAATAATAAGTTCATCTTCTTTGTATTCTTTAAAACATACAGGACATGTTAATAAACTAGAACATGGACCACACTGTGTGTAATTATTCTGCCATTCTGAGTTGAAGCCTGGTGATGTAGCACCACACTTTGTACAGCAAACACACCTACAACAAATTACATTAAAGATTATCATGACTACTTATCCATTTTGCTTGGTTTTTATTTTGCCATTTTGACCGGTAAGTGAATTATACCAAATCAAAATTAAAGTCAACCTGTAAAATTGCAATATAACTCATGCAAAGTTAGAATAAAATTTGTCAATAGCATTTTAGAAACACAAACGCTGAAATCACACTTGTGCAGTACAATTCAAAGGCTTTCAAAATTCGGCCGAGAAGGAGACATTAACCTTTTCACCACCAATTCCCTTTTTTTTTTGTCACAAAAAAATACTGTAGTCTACACTCTACTTCAGAAGTAAAGCCAGGAAACGAACTCAAGTTTTGTCTGCTGGCTCTAAAATTAGGATTCATTTCCAAAAATATTGAGGAATATAAGAAACGAGCAACCTCTCGACAGAGATAGCCAGATGTTAGCAATTTCAATTAAAGAATTTAAGATATCATTAGAAAATGAACAAATCTGAGAGAGGTCCACATGTAGTATCTCTATGTATAATATCAGAGCAATCAAACTTGCGGTGTTTAACAAGGAAAAAATATAAATTTTTACCAAAAATGACCAAAATATTCATCAAAATATCATCACGAAATAAACAAATCTGAGAGAGGTCGACATGTAGTACCTATATGTATAATATCAAAGCAATCAGACTTGCAGTTTTCAACAAGAAGTCAAAGATATCACTTTTTTACCAAAAATGACAAAAATATTCACCAAAATTAGAGAATTGAAGATATTATCATGAAATGATCAAATCTGAGTGAGGTCTACCCAAGGTACTATACTTGTTCCTTGTCTTATAGTTTTCAAAAAGAACTTGAAAAAGTAAAAAGTTGACAATCACTTGTATGATAAGGACTCGAAGCTAAAAAGTGCAGAAAAATTTGGGTGAAAAGGTATGGTAGTGAAATGGTTAAGTTTTACTCACCATTTACATTTCCATCCACCTTTTGGTACATTTTGAAGTGGTGGTTCAAGACAGTAAGTATGATAACTAATATCACAGTCATCACACAGTAAAAGTCTTCCTTCATCGCTAGCTTTTCCGCATCCTTCACACACTGTGCAATCCAAACAACGCCAGCCTTTAGAAAGAACCACTTTAGTGATCTGTGAAAAGACAATCATGATAATAAAGAAACACTGGAAATATTGCATAATTTTGTCATTCCCAAATTTAACGTAAAAATATGTTTATATGTGTTATAATACGAAATAACTGACCTTAATATTAACGCAGTATGGATGATAACATTGTCCGCACTGAGAACATGTTAACAGACGCCCTTCTGCATCTCTACCAAAGCTGCCACAGCTAACACACATATCCTATGTAATAATAAAAATAATAAAAATATTAGTCATATTATCTGCAGTTGATAACAATGGAAACAAGCCATGCATGGCACAGTTCCCGGTTGTTATCAAATCTAAGTTATATAGTTTTGTTTATAGTAATATAGTACAAGTACTTGTCCATATTGAGAGAAATTGCTTTGGAACAGCATTAATTAGAACAAAATGACCACCAGTCAGCCGTTTTGAATCCAGTCAGAATAACAAATTGATGTGCATATGTATAATATTATGTATGATGTATGTGTGAAGTTTGAATGTAATCAGCCCAGACATGTCTAAGATATAGAACGCACACATGCATGGATGCATAGACGCACGAACACACGCACACACAGAGGTCAATCCATAAGTCCCTGTCTTCGAACTGCTTCCTAACAGGGACTAACAAAAGCCAAGTACAAAACAGTACAATTAGCATAGAAAAACGGTATGAGCAATTTGACCTCAAACAATTTCAGGTTCAACTATAGAGGGCGGTAATGAGGTTACCTGAGTAAGTGTAAATTTATCTTTGACAGAAAACAAGACAACTGTGGTATGCATTCCTGTATCTTCCTCTTCCTTATTTTTCTCGTTGCCGCTGTCCTGAGGTTTTGTTTCACTTATTTGTATGCTCGGCTGTAATCCAGGGTGTCTTATTTTTGGTTTAGGTCCTCGTTTACCAGGTGGAGCAGTATGTCGTCGTCTTTTATTTAACGCAATGCCTCGTCCATGCGATGAGAAAACTTTCTATAAAGTGCAATAAGAACAAACATTTTAATTTTTTGAAAGTAAATAATTACGCCATATTTTTCCCCCATTCAATTTGGCTAAAAAAAAAACACAGACGATGACAACCTGGACAGATGCAGTTTATTTTTCTGGTGCAAAAACACGATTAAATTGGACTGTTTTGCGGTTTAAAGTACTATCACCGTTAAATATAGCAAAATGAAGGAGAGCTTACCCGTGGTCTTCCAGCACCAAGTCTTCTTTTCATTGGTTTACCCATTCCTTGTATACGCTTATTACAAGCAAGTAAAGACGACAGACTTGCTGAACTACTTGATAAATCCTTCTGGAAATTAGAAATCATATTGGTCATTAATGTTCATTATTATGCAAGTTAATACTGTAAATGCACTAATTACTCACTGGGTTTAAATTAAAATTAGTTATTGTCACTAAAAAGTGAAATCTGCAAATTAAATTAATGTGAACATGTGGAATTACAATTTCCAATTTGAAACCAAGTTCCCTGAAAAAATTGCATTAAGTAGTCAATAAATTGTGTTATTGCAGTCGATTCCTTTCAGGAGGTCAATTTTAATTTGGAAGATTGACCTTGATAAGCTACTCTACCAACGATTGGTCAGTCAATTCCTTTCAGGAGGTCAATAATAATTTGGAAGATTGACCTTGATAAGCTACTCTACCAACGATTGGTCAGTTGATTCCTTTCCGG